AATACTATGCTAGAAACACGTGTAATGTTGGATGTGATCTTAAGATGTGTTTGGGAAAAAGAATCTAGTTTATATATATATGTGTGTGTTACAGAAATATTTAACACACATATACGATCACTAAACAGTTGGTCCGCGGTGTAATATTGAATAATGAATTTCATGAAATGTCATAACATTGTTCACATACCTAAATTAATTTAGGTTACTATATGGTGAAGTAAAACCGACTCAAAACCCAATAGATCGAATGTACTTTAATTAACAACATGTATATATATTTTTATCAGATTTACAAATACTCATGTATTGCATTAGCCATATTAATTTTTACAGGAGATCTGTATACATGTTTTTCAATTAGTGACATTCAAAAGTATAAATATATTTTCTCAGTTCCAGGCTTTAATATATTATACAAAAATATAAAAAATACTTAGTTAATGTTCCCTGCAGTAATACATTCCCTCATCCTTCTAGCTAGGATACTAAGTATTTTACAAGCAGAACCTATTATTCACTCATAATACTTAACAAAACGTTCATAAAAGCTTGAACGAAATAAGATAATTATGATAAAACTTGAAGCTTTTCTGATCCCGGATGTCCAACATGGCTAATGAATCGCAAACCATAGAAACGTTTATAAATATGTATTTTTTCACACTCTCTGAACGTTCATAAGTCTTTCTTTTTTATCTTAGAATTGTTGGACAACAAATAAAAATCTTGGGGGATCACATTTTGAATATTTGGGGAGATTTTTAATGTGAAATCCAGTCTTTTCTTTCTCCTTCATCATCATCTCGACTTTCTGTAGACTTTCACTGTCATTAATAACTCCCATTATGTCATAGAATGAGTTATTTGCCGGCTTAACAGTTAACTATACTATTTATTAAACATTACCAAATACACTTTATCGTCTAAATCTTTAGTAGTTGAAACGGGACGTTTATTAACTCCTACCATACAGTTCAGGGAAGTTTATTAACTCCTACCATACAGTTCAGGGAAGTTTATTAACTCCTACCATACAGTTCAGGGAAGTTTATTAACTCCTACCATACAGTTCAGAGACGTTTATTAACTCCTACCATACAGTCCAGTTATCAGTTACTAATGGTTCCACATTTTCCTAACGAGCAAAATTATCACTATTTCGGAGTCGGAAAGAGACTTATACGAGAAATCTTATTTAGATTTTAACCCAGAAATTCCTTTATCTGCACCACGACATATTACCACCCTAGTCATTCAATTTATGATATATATATATATGTATATATATATAATGTTTAATCACATCCACTTGTAAATGTGACATTTTTATATTTTATTCTTAACCTAAATTATAGAGATATTTTCATTAAGGACCTGAGGGTCACACTTATCACATTATCTTGAAATAAAACTCACCCATTAAACTGAAAGAAGGGTTTGGTTTGGAGCCTATAATATAACACTCACTTTTCCTTAGCGGTAACACAACCCCCTTCTTATGTGTGATGGTACTTAAAATATCCTATGTTCAAAAGTTGTGTTAAGTTTTTATCAGGACAAAGACATAATTTTATTTCAATTTAAATTCTTTGTTTTAATATTATTATTTCAGCAATAAACCTCTCCTTTCCTCAAAAGAAAAAACTAATTCAGGTAGAATAAATTGATAGATTAGTATTTAAACAGTGGGTGTGTCATATTATTCATGTATAATAACTAGAGCAGTTAAAATAGTTTAGAAACATTCATGTAGTTGCGCTGTAATATTTTAGTCAATTCCAGCATTTTCAACCATGCTTCATTGTGTTCAGTTTATTTGTTTGTTTGTTATAGATTTCGCGCAAAGCTACGCGAGGCCTATCTGCGCTAGCCGTCCCTAATTTAGTAGTGTAAGACTAGAGGGAAAGCAGCTAGTCATCACCACCCACCGCCAACTCTTGGGCTACTCTTTTACCAACGAATAGTGGGATTGACCGTCACATTATAACACCCCACGGCTGAAAGGGCGAGCATATTTGGTGGGACGGGGATTCGAACCCGCGACCAACAGATTGCGAGTCGAGCGCCCTAACCACCTGGCCATGCCGGGCCCGATTGTGTTCAGAGGTTCAATATTAGGGACGACTATACTTGAACCATAAAGGTCACTGACCTGGATTTTTAGTCTTCTTGTGCAGATGGTTCCGTTTAGGAGGAAAATTCCAAGAAATTTAAGTCAGACAGCGTGTTATTTGAATGTAAGCCTTTCCTACGATGTTGGGTAAAATATCTTTCATGAGAACAATTACGAATATCCGCTTGTGATCTGGACCTTTTCGAAGCTATATAAACTAATATATCTTGTGATCTGGACCTTTCGAAGCTATATAAACTAATATATCTTGTGATCTGGACCTTTCGAAGCTATATAAACTAATATATCTTGTGATCTGGACCTTTTGAAGCTATACAAAGTAATATATCTTGTGATCTGGACCTTTCGAAGCCATATAAACTAATATATCTTGTGATCTGGACCTTTAGAAGCTATATAAACTGATATATCTTGTGATCTGGACCTTTAGAAGCTATATAAACTAATATATCTTGTGCTCTGGACCTTTCGAAGCCATATGAACTAATATATCTTGTTATCTGGACCTTTTGAAGCTATGCAAACTATTATATCTTGTGATCTGGACCTTTCGAAGCCATATAAACTAATATATCTTGTGATCTGGACCTTTCGAAGCTATATAAACTAATACATCTTTTGATTTGGACCTTTCGAAGCTATATAAACTAATATATCTTGTGATCTGGACCTTTCGAAGCTATATAAACTAATATATCTTGTGTGTGAAAGAGAGAGAATCCGAAATGAATTAAGTAGGTAAAGTAACTTTAGAATATTCTTTATTTAAACTTAGAATCCCTACACTAGCCTTTGTCAAGAACTGCTCCATTTACCGTTGTCTTGAAGCCTTCAGTTGATCCAATATGAAGCAAGGAATTAATAATTACAAACAAATAGTAGATTGCGTAACTCCACAACTGATTTTTTGTATAAACTTTATCACACATTTCTTAAATATAGATAAATTGTTTTCAAGTTTGTTGTAACTATAAATTTCTTTGTGTATCTTCAGTTTTTTGTTTTGATTTTCTCTCGGTTCCAGTTTCGTTTCATGATTGGTGAAAAGAATGTCCGTATTCAAAACATCAGTTAAGTTGTTGCTGTTATATTGCCTGAAAACCTTATTTTTTGCATTGTCTAACAACGTGTTCTTGGGATTAATTTACACAGTTAACCAAGATATTGAAACGACTGCAATATCATAAATTACAAGTTTTACACTAATTTACAGAGTTACAACATATCAGAACGGTTGGAATGATATAACTCACAAATTTTATATTAGTTTATAGAGCTATACCAAGATATCGAAACGGTACCAATACAGTAACTTGTCATTTTATGTTAGTTTATAGAACTACACCAAGATATCGAAACGGTTATAATACAGTAACTTGTCATTTTATATTAGTTTACAGAGCTACACCAAAATATCGAAACGGTACCAATACAGTAACTTGCCATTTTATATCAATTTATAAAGCTACACCAAGATATCGAAACGGTACCAATACAGTAACTTGCCATTTTATATCAATTTATAAAGCTACACCAAGATATCGAAACGGTACCAATACAGTAACTTGCCAATTTCTATTAGTTTATAGAGCTATACCAAGATATCGAAACGGTTACAATACAGTAACTTGCCATTTTATATCAATTTATAAAGCTACACCAAGATATCGAAACGGTTACAATACAGTAACTTGCCATTTTATATTAGTTTATAGAACTACACCAAGATATCGAAACGGTTACAATACAGTAACTTGCCATTTTATATCAATTTATAAAGCTACACCAAGTTATTGAAACGGTTACAATACAGTAATTTGTCATTTGATGTTAGATTACAGAGCTACACCAAAATATCGAAACGGTTACAATACAGTAACTTGTCATTTTATATTAGTTTATAGAGCTACACCAAGATATTGAAACGGTTACAATACAGTAACTTGCCATTTTATATTAGTTTATAGAGCTACACCAAGATATTGAAACGGTTACAATACAGTAACTTGTCATTTTATATTAGTTTACAGAGCTACACCAAGATATCGAAACGGTTACAATACAGTAACTTGCCATTTTATATTAGTTTACAGAGCTACATCAAGATATCGAAACGGTTACAATACAGTAATTTGTCATTTGATGTTAGATTACAGAGCTACACCAAAATATCGAAACGGTTACAATACAGTAACTTGTCATTTGATGTTAATTTAGATTGTACTAGAACTGGCACAAAATAATCTTAATATTTATATACATATATACACACATATATATAGGGCAAAACTTATGTTTGTCTGTCCGCTAACTCCTCGCACACTATTTGACCAATCACCACCAAACTTGGCATGGTGACTCCTACGATCCTCAGAAGTAACAAGAAGGGTCAAACTTCCCACCAGGTTTGCACTAAAACTAATTTTTGGCTTTTAAATCAGTTTCTGTCTTCTGTCACACTTTTTTTGGTAATATTCAACACTATACATCGTCGTTTGACAACAAAACTATCACGATATTGTTGTTAAGCTAACAATGTTGTTTATGTTGAAATCGTGATGTACATGTTAATTTGTGGTTTATTTTTATTCTCTCTGTTTTTAATAACTTCGGTGATATAAAACCACACGGTTTAATTCAGAAACTTCTTCTTAAGTTACTGTTGGAAACTTTCCAAACAATAAATCAATCAAACAACTACATTACTATCCCAGAAAAATGTGTTAACTCAGTTAAGGATGCAGAAGAGCTAAAGGAAAAGATGTTTCCTAATATTTGTCAAAATAATTAATGGTTGTGTAAAAGAGCAATTCTTAAACCTCCAAATTATATCGCTCATGATATAAATGATCAATTATTGCAAATGGTTCCCGGACAGAAATTCACCAACAGCTCAACTGTCAGTATTCCAGTTACTGTTGATGCTTTAAATCACCCAAATGAATTCCTAACTTATCTTGAACCACCAGAGAAGTCAGGTCACATTCTGAAATTAAAGGTTGGTTCACCAATAATGTTGGTGAGAAATCTTGATCTTCCAAAGTTATGTAATGGCACAAGTTTAGTTGTTAAGACTTTACTGTCACATGTTATTGAAGCAACTGGTCATTCCAAAAGTGAAGATGTCTTCATTCCAAGAATTCCTTTGCTACCAAATGATTACCCCTTTGAATTTAGAAGGCTCCAAATCCCAGTTACAATTTGTTTTGCAATGTCAATTAATAAGGCACAAGGTCAAAGTTTAAAGGTTGCTGGATTTTTCCTAAAGCAGCTTTGCTGTTCATATGGTCAGTTCTATGTAGGATGTTGAACGGTTGTATCTCATCAAAACCTGTATATATTGTCAGAAGAAGGAACATCAGCCAATGTTGTATATCAAGAAACTTTAATTTAAATTGTGTAATTTTTGTTTTGAAAATCAAAGATTTAGATAACAATTTAAATGTTATGAAAATTGAATTTTTAAAATAAATGTTCTTAAAAGTAATTTCATTGTGTTTTTAAATACCCATTCCAAGTAATATGGACACCTGTGCAAGGAACGGGTACTTCATTCTTGGGTGAGTCAGCGGTAACTTTACAGCGTTATAACGCGAAAATTCCGGGTTCGGCTCCCCGCGGTAAACAGAGTGCAGATAGCCCATTGTATAGTATTGTGCTAAAAAACAACAAACAAACAAACTATAAAATATACAGTATTCTATATGTTATTTTAGTAACGGATACTGTTCTCTTCAGATAACAGCAAATAATTTCCGTACTTTATCCTAGAAATACAGTAGTACGTCAATGGCGGATACCGTAAATGTTTTGAACTTTTATTAAAACTCTTAACAATAGCTATTATTACCAGTTCACGCTATTCGTTAGAATTAAGAATTTAACGTGGTATAACATACATTGTGTTAGTTTGTTAGCACAGGTAAATAGATGTCAATTCTGGGCTAGTTAATGAATTGCTATCAACACCTCATTTTTTGCTGTTCCTGTTTTAGTGTAAATATACACAACGGGCAATCTACGCTTTACCCACCAGGGGTAATCGACCCTCGGGTTTTAGGGTTATAAGTCTTTAAACTTACCGCTGACCCATCCAACGACCATATTTCTCCCTATAAAATCACACAGGCCTGCGATGGTTTTTATTGTCTTGAAATTTTTTAATGTTCTACAGTATTCCTGTACGCTGGATCCGAAAATTATATCCATTTTTCTCCATCACGTACAGACTTTTCACAAAAAAATCAGGATGAATGAGGATGCATATTCGTTTGACATCAATGCTCTTCCCTTTTCTT